TTATTGTACCCTGGCATAGCCGAGTCAATTACTTAGCACCAGTAACCACCCTTGGTTGCTGTAGGCTTCGATTAGTTATGTTTATCTTTTTGTTGGTTGTGCATTTTGTTTCAGTTCCATTAATTATCTTCTGTATCATGTGTCACTGATTGATTTGGGTGATGCAGGCACAAGATTTCAGGCAGCAGGGGACCCAGATGAGGAGGAAGATGTGGTTGCAGAACATGAAGGTGAAGCTGATAGTTTTGGGAATCTTAATCGCATTGATTCTCATCATCGTTCTATCCGTGTGCAATGGCTTCAAATGCTGATGTGTCCATAGACTCATACTGCGGACTGGATGACGTTCGTTCCTCGCGCTGATTTCTGGTCGACGTATAATTATTTTTGGCACATCCTACTTTCTGCTATATTTTGCATCGTAAGACCGTTTGTATAGCTTGTATTCGTGAATTCTTTCTATAATAGGCCCGCTCGGAAGTGCGAATCGCTCTTTGATTCCTTTTGTTCCGTGGAACTTATGTTGTAGCACTTTGTGACCGATTTGGCAGAACAACTGTGAGTGTTTCTAGATTTGATATTCAACAATTGAAAAGTGTCGAACATGTGAAGGAAATGTGTTGCTTTTCGCCTTCTATTGAGAATCGAAAACACGAAGGGAAATGTCCCTTCAGAATAATGTATGAAAATGGCTTTTGCCGAACAGAAAAACGAGTCCAAGTTTTTCGACATTCTTCTATCTATATGAAGTACTAAGTACCAAGACAATGGTCATATGTTGATCTCCATGTTGTCGATCAGTCGAACCTTTCCAAACCAGGCAGCGACGCAGAACACGACAGGCCTTCTGATCTCTTCTGCCGACTCCAAGCTTTCCTGGTCGACAATCTGGCGGCATAATTCACAAACAATTAGAAATTTCGAGCAAATCTAAATAAAGTTTGCTGAAAAATTAGCTTACAAGACGTCTCCCGGAAAGGAGGAACAAATTAATACAAGAAAAACGAAGTAAAGTACAGATTCATTCAAAATAGGGGTTTTAAAATTCAAAGCTATAAGAAAAGCCAATGCAGTAAAACAAGTTCGTTCTACGACGCTCACCTCAGCATAATCGACTCTTCCACCGGCTTCACTAATCGCTTGGATGACCAAGTCTCTCAACTCTTTACAATTAACTTGTCCCTTTTCTGCAGAAGATCTAGCTTCTGACAATGACTTGCTTATAGACAGTGCCTGCATATCACCGAAAATAACACACTAATAATTGAACAGAAGACACTGCAAGAGCAAGAATGCTGCACAACTCAAGTTCTATATTCGCAAATAACGAGAAAGGCTAAATGCAGTTGCAAACCTTTTCCCGTTCTTCAGGTGAGAGGCGCACATTGCGTGAACTCATTGCCAGGCCATCGTGTTCTCGCACTATTTCAGAACCTATCACTCTAACGGAAAAATCAAGATCTCGAACCTGTACAAATACAAAGAGAGCGATAATGAATAAGCAGCTTCCTACAAATGTGGCTAAACATCATTTAATCAAAATATGTCATGTCTAAAACTACTGCAGCAATTAGGTTTGAAATGGCCAACTTAAGTAAAGCAAACAAAGTTTTTGAAACCGGTTTGAACCCAAACCCGAAATATATGATCTGCAACAATTATCCATTCAATTACCGCAAGCAACTCAAATCCTCAATGAACACAACATTGGCAATCTATTTTTCTTTCCTCAAAGGTTAGCGCACCAAACATTCTTGCATTGACAAAACACATCAAATCAAGACCACAATCAGGTTCACACATTAAGTTCTCACACCGAACATTTTGTCATTTCTTATATGAAATCCGTCAAAATTTATCCTCCCATGTGCCGCAAAAGTGACAATTTCGTACAAGAAACTAACGTAAGTCGACATACAGACGTCCCCGAATTCAAACACTAAACAGAATGCAAACAACAAAGACAAAAATTGGATGCAATTGAAAATGTAGCGACAAGACAAGAGGTACTAAATCATGTCTTGGCCATCAACTTTCCAACAAAATCTTTCAAAGTTTTACACTTTCATGCTCCAATTCATGAACTTCTAGAAGCTTATGGCATGTCGAAAATTCCACGAAAATAGATTTCATCATACATTTTGTAGAAATTCGCAAAACCGATTGAAATGGAGCTCAAAAAATTGAACAGGAACTCACCATCCGCTGAATTATCCGCCATTGTTGATAATCCTTCTTCCCAAACACCGCAACATCAGGCTCCACGATATTAAACAGCTTGCTCACAACCGTCGTAACCCCTCTGAAAAACACCGGCCTGCTCCGCCCGCACATCCCCTTCTCCAACCTCTCGACCCTAACCCACGTCTCGTGCCCCACCCCCTTGTCCTCCAAGCACGACACCGTTTCGCCGCAGCCGCTCTCAACCGCCCCATTCCTCGCACGTGCGCTTGCGTCCGTGCTTCCTCCGTAGTCGTACAGGTTGTGGGGGTTGAATACGACGTCGACGCCGCCGGGAATTTGGGCGAGCTTCCGGATGTCGCCGTGGAAATCGGACGGGTATGTGGAGAGGTCTTCGGAGGGGGCGAACTGACCCGGGTTCACGTAGATCGAGACGGCGAGGACGTCGGCATGGGTGCGGGCTTCTCGGATGAGGGAAACGTGTCCTTCGTGGAGGTAGCCCATTGTGGGTACTAATCCGATGGTCTTGCCTTGGGCTCTCATGGCGCGTGACCACCTCCTCATCTGGTCCTTGTCCCTGATAATCTCTGGTTGTTTGGCCGCCATTGTATGAAGTGTTTTGAGGAGGAAGTGAGAAGGATTGGTGGAATTTGAGAAAGCAAAGGTGAAGTGACAAGGGAGGAGGAAACCGTTTATGTGGCGGGTAGGTTGGGTCGCGCCTGCCTACGCTGACCGGAAGATAAAGGATATGTTTAATAACATGAAATTGTAGCAATAGTCTTTCAATTTTAACCAAATTAAAGTAATGGTCATTTCAACTAAAATTTCATGACTAATTTGTCTCTTAACTCCTTAAAACTTGCAACTATGGTCATTTTTATGAACACTTTTAGAACTTTAGTCAAAATGAGTCACATGTTACGCATATGAGGCTGAATCGAAAGGCAAATATGAAAAACTAAATGAGAAAAATTGTAGCAGTGGTGCATCAACTTTAACCTAACTGTAGAAATGGTCCATCAATTTTAACTCAATTGGAGCAACGGTCCCTCAACTTTAACCCAACTATAGTAATGGTCATTCTAACATAACTCATTTTGATGGAATTCTAACGGTGTTAACGAAAAGAACCATAGCTGCACGTTTTGATGAGTTAAGAGACCAATGGTTATTAAATTTTAGTTTAGGGACCATTACTCCAAATTTGTATGGAATGTTTGAACCAGAGCAAATTTTCTTGGATAATACTTAAATTCCCTATTGGAAAATGAACACATTTCTCCACTTATAAATAACTTATTTTCATCATAGAAATTTCATAATCGGAATTACGTTCAACTTTCTTAATCTTCATTTGAAAATTATTCTTACAAAAATCATTTCAATTAGAGATCATTTTGTCCTTCAAATGTTTCAAATAAATCCAACAGGTGTAGGTATTAAGTATCATATAAATGATGAACCATTCACTTATTTGATACATTTAGATGATTAAACGATCTCGGATTTGAATGGTTTTTTTTGTAAGAATGATCTTCAAATGAAGATTAAAAAATTTATTTGATAAAGATACATCACTTGAAAGTGGAGGAGCGAGCTCATTTCTTCAAGGGGGAATGCAAGTATTATTCAATTTTCTTTATCCATACTTTCATCATTTACATATCATTTGTAAAAGCATTTAAATCATGCTTGCATTTCCCTTCGGTGTGGTGAGCTCATTCCTCCACTTGCAAATAACATATCTTTATCGTAGAAATTTCATAAACCCGTTCAATGTCTTAATTTTGATTTGAAGATTATCCCTAAGGAGGGAATGCAAGTATTATTTAAAAAATGTATCCATATAAATTATATCTTTTTTTTTCTCTAATACCTACAATATTATCTAGACTAAGGTGTAATATCCCACATCGCCCAGGGGAGTGGATCCTATAAGCCTTATATGTATATTTCCATCTCTACCTAGCATGAGGCATTTTGGGAGCTCACTGGCATCGGGTTCCATCGGAACTCTGAAGTTAAGCAAATTCACGAGAAAGCAATCCTAGGATGGGTGACCCACTGGAAGTTCTCGTCTGAGTTTCCAAAAATAAAACTGTGAGGGTGTGGTCGGGGCCCAAAGCGGATAATATTGTGCTACGGCGGAGTCGAGCCCGGGATGTGGTGGGGGCTCGGGCTGGGACGTGACAATTTGGTATCAAAGCCAATCCCTGGTCGGATGTGTGCCGATGAGGACGTCAAGCCCCTAAGGGGGGTGGATTGTAACATCCCACATCGCCCAGGGGAGTGGATCCTGTAAGCCTTATATGTATATTCCCATCTCTACCTAGCACGAGGCTTTTTGGGAGCTCATTGGCTTCGGGTTCCATCGGAACTTCGAAGTTAAGCGAGTTCACGCGAGAGTAATCCTAAGATGGGTGACCCATTATGAAGTTCTTGTCTGAGTTCCAAAAAACAAAACTGTGAGGGCATGGTCGGGGCCCAAAGCGGACAATATCGTGCCACAACGAAGTTGAACCTGAGATATGGTAGGGGCCCGGGCTGGGATGTGACAAAGGGGTGGGGGGGTGGGGGGTGGGTTAAGCCCTCACATAAGCTAGCCAGAATAATTTGGTTATGTTGCCTTTGGCAAAAATCAAACTTAAGATTTCTTACTTACAAGTGAAGATGAATAACACTAAGTGGCAAAATAAATCAAACATATGACAGTTAATCATGAAATATTACTTGTCATCATATTGATAGTGAATCATGAAAATATTATTCGTCATCATAACCATTAATTTGTTTAACACATATGAATCTTAAACAGTCGCTGAATTAAATAAAATTTGGATACCAAATCGAGAACCACTAAATTGTTGGTTCTCAATTCACTTTCTCATTACCAACTTAACTCTCTCCAACACAAACATCATCTCCCTAACATTATGTACAAAAGGGACCTTATTCTAATTTACCCACACAACACCAACTTCTCTGTTTTTTTTTTTTTTTTGTTGTTGTTGGTGGTCCTAACTAAACACACACATTTTTAGTTTTTAATACACCTACATATGAACAAAAGAACAAACTATTAGGTATTAGCATGCCACTTGATCTCTAAATTGAGAGATCTCTTCAAAGATGGGAAGCCTTTTAGATCTAAACGGGCCCCATTCATTCATCAACTGCTCAAGCCCTTTCACAAAATCATCATCATCTAGGCTCAATACATCCAATGACTCTGGCAAACAATTCATAGACCTCAACTCCATTAGCAACTCGTCCACTCGTTTCCTCAACTTGCTCTCCTCGGATCCTGGAAGTCTACTGTGTACCACGTCTTCGAGAGCCAAAAGGGCCTCTTCGTGTCGGCCTTGTTTGATTAGGCACAGACCCAAATTACATGCTTTGTTCGAGTCAGGGTCGATCATTTGGGCCTTTCGATACACGACCTCCGCCATCATGTAGTTACCTTTCTGCATATAGGCCCAGCCCAAATTGCCCTGTAAAATGTATCTAAATAAGTCACATTACATGTTACTAAATTATGAATCGAGGCAATTGACAGCATAACACACCAATAATCTCGAGGTCTCTTGCGTAACCGAAACCTGGAACTTCTTTCCATGAGAGCGGGCGATTTTAGTTGGTCTTCCGTTGAAGGTAGCGCCTTGGTATATCAACCTAAGCTTCCTCTTGAGCAAGTCAATTTGCTCATCAACTTTGCCACATTTCTTGTACAAGTCAATGAGGACATTGTCAAGTGAATCTTGGGCTTGTTTGGAGCAAAGGCCTCTAAAGGACTTGATAGCTTCAATGGCCTCCCCAGTTCTGTCCAATTGCTTCATCACCACAGCCATGTCTTTTAGGGCACTGTCCACTCTGTCTCTTGCATTTATTGCCTTCCAAAACAAAACTATTGCTGCCTCTGGGTCCTTTTCAACTAGCTTCGCACACAAAAATTGGGTTTGGTAAGAATTAAAAAGTTGGGCTAATTTGGGCCCACATGGAAGGGCCCATAAAATAGAAGAAACTGTCACTCTCTCCTTTTTTTTCACAGACTGGTCCAGATCAAGTGGGCAACTAAACGGATAGACTGCGTCAAAATTTATTTATTTATTTTTATGAGAGGCAGAAAAAAAAAAGTATTCATGCAATTATTTATGATTGGTGAGATTTGGGCGTAATGCATGTATATATCACGCATACCTTAGTATCAATTATGACACCTAAATAACATTTGAAGTGGTTTAAACTTCTAACTTCTACCCAGATATGAATTGAGCTAAATTAGCTAGAACATTGTATTTTCTATCTCTATGATAAATTGCAAAATATTCACCGTGTGCAGTGTTTAAAATTCCGATATGGGTAGAAAAATCGATATGCAAGTCTATTGTCAATATATTGATTGCCCTTGATGGAAATTATAAAAATTTGTAATGAGGTGAGTATATCAACTCATTCAGATTTAGTCGAAATTAAAAAAAAAAAAGTTCAAAATTTTGAAATTTGTAATGGGTTCCGGCAAATTATTGTAGTGAATAAGTAAATATCATCGGTATTAATTGATTTTCCTATATCCCACTAATATAGGAGAAGATTGCAATTCACCCGTCCTTTCTATATTGATTCTTGATTTTTTGAAAGTTTCGATGAAAATATCTATAATTTTGCGAATATTTTAAACACCGACAATGTATGCACGTATATAAACAACTTATGTTCTTCATTCTACGAGCCCAAAGTTAACTATTTCACGAAATTTATTAATGATTAAGCTATTTGGTTTAACTAAAGTCTGTATTTTTTTAGCACAACAATATATTTTTACACTAAGAGGAGAGGGAGTTCGGCTAAGTGACACAATGGGTAACCTAATTTGGTATCAAATTCGCCATCTATGAGATTCGAACCTAAGACATCTCACTTAAAGTGAAGAAAAATACAATTAGACTGTAGTACTGAGTGACAACTAAAGTATGTATTTAATTATGGGTAAAACTTCACTATTGCCTAGGTGAAGAGACATATATTGTAATCAATTACCACATAAATTAACTATACATTTGAGATTTAATTTACACCTGTGAAAGACATTGAGATCTGACTTACCACTTAACCACATATATACAACCTAATTAATTATTAAAAACATCCATAAAATTATTGAAAATAATATAAAAATTATTGAAAAACGAGGTCGATATTTCGATTGCATGGTGGCAATAATCAGCTGTGAATTTGGGAAAAGAGAAAAGAGAAGGTGTGTATGAAGTTTACTACAATCATGTACTTTTCGATTGATGAGGTGTTTGAATTGGGAAAAATTAAGGACATATTGAAGCATCAAAACAAAAATATTTGATTTGGTAAAACAATAATCTCCATGGTAATTGGAGTAGCTGGAGTCAAGCCAAAAGGGCGTGCAAAGCAAAAAAAGCAGATAGAATGAGAGTGTTTTAAGGATGGATAGCTGGCGATCTATCTTTTATCTATTTATTTCTTTCATCACGTGACTTATAATCATAAACACAAAGAATATAGAATATATATTTGTTTTTTTAGTGAGACAGAAAAATGCAAATATGCAGCTAAAATAACCTTGCCATAGAATTAAGCATGTAATTCAAACTCAATCCCTACTAATCAAACTCCTCATATCCGGCAAAAGCAAGATAAGAGTTTTTATGACGTGAACCAGCTTAAGAACTGACCAACGATGACCCCAAAGACTAGATCGCGGACTTGGTTGTAATCAAGTTTGCTACAGCAGTGTGTTCCTCTTCTACACACCCAAACTTCGAATTCTCGTTCTCGTTGTTTAGATTTTTTATCGCCATGATAAGAAAAACGACTCAATTGAAAGAGTACTGAAGTTTGGGAACGAACCTGAGCATGTTTGGCTCTAACATAAGGACTATCACCAGCAGGAACCTTGTGAATAACATGATAAAGATCATCTTTCTTCCCTTTTGTGCTGCAGCTGTTCATCTTCGAACTTCCCTCCATTCTTTTTTCTTTTTTCCCTCTTAATTTCTCTGGATTAATTGGCTGCAATAATATTAATAAATAAATAAATAAAATTAATAATATTGGAGGAGCTGCTGGGTCTTCTCTCTCCCTCTGGAAAGAGAGGAGGAGAGAAATCACGAGTCCAATTTATACAGGCAAATATCTGATAATATTTTAGATTTTTAAGATGATCATGAACGTTGTGGTATATCACGACCCGATTCATCTTTGTAGGTTTGTTCTCACGCACCAGCCAATCGACTAGATACAACGTGGTGGCCCGGAAACGTGTCAAGCTGAAATTCAACCTTTTTGGTATTCAAATTTGTTGCCATTAGCCAAACAAGATCATATAAGTCGTGCAAACCAGTTGACAATATTAAATGTACATTCCACTTTAATCATTTTGATTAGGGATAATGTAATCCTGTTCATGTGATTAGTGAAAATTGAATCTAACCTATGGCATAAACAGATCTGTCGTCACGTTTGTTTCGTTAATTATTAAAGGTGGGGTTAGTTTTTCAATTACCTAATTATTATAAACATATAATTCTTCCCTACCCCATATTATTTCAATTTTGGGATCAACTTGGACGTGATTATGTTGAGACTCTTATAATAAAAAACATCGTGTGTGATCGATGAAAGTTATGAGAATGTTATAAATATGTATATATTAAGAGAATTCTTATACATACACGACAAAACGTTTTATCTGATTATGTACTCGATGTCATCTCTTGTATAAAAGTTGACGATTACACAATGTTGATACTTCTGGCCTAGCTATGGTAACCCTTACATGCATGTCACATAGCGAATGCTAGATTGCCTTTTATTTATTGTATTTAATGGATAGATTGGCATCAGTGGTCTCTCTTTTTTTTTTGTACCAAATTCATGCGAGAGGAAACGGCTATTTTTTTTCCTTTCTTAATCATGAACTGTAATTATTATCTTACCACCTAATCCTTATTAATTAGTGCGTGTCCAATTCAATTAACCAAGCTAATTACATTGCATTCTACGTCCAAATTAATGAAGAGGTGTGTGGAAAAACAAAATAAGAAGAAAGTGTTAGTGCCCTGCAGTGTTGGGGGAAAGGTCTGCGAAAATATATGGATGAACCTGGACAGGTTCATTGGACTAGTTAGGAAAAATGGTTCCAGAAGAGTAGACGTATCAAAATTTCATATTGTTTGTTTCTATAGTTCAACTATATATCTATCAGCACCCCCTTATAACATTTGATGTATGAAGAACTTGTTTCAATTGTCAGATGAGAAAAAAAGATCCTAGTTGGCTCTCAAACTTCAATTTACCTTAATTTTGTGGAGAGAATGTTTACGGCATGAATGCTGTTCACCGTTACGCTTTGTGTTTATGATTAATGATATGCAAGAGAGAATAATTATACTTAACATTATGCTATTGTCTATTAGCACGAGAGTTGACAATAACAATGTATACTTTTCTATGTAATCTCATCCTCCAAGCAGTAAAGAAACCCAGTTGCCTAGGTATCAAGAAACTGGTGGAGTTGGTCTTAAATAACATGCTCTATTAGTTGTCCTTGTAGAAATTTTCACATATAAAGTCTGCTAATATTAAAAAATAAAATAAAAATAAAACTAAGATCACTTTGTAATAACAAACAAAATTTCACAACTAAAATCACTTCAAATATGCCAACTGAATAAATTATCGATATTTTATTTTCTCAAACTAAATTATTAAAGTGTTTTTGTTGGAAATTTATATTTATCAAAGTGTTTTTCTTCTAGTTCACTATTTTTTAATAGAAAATATAAGATCATCTTTAAAAGAGATGTCAAATCTTAAGTGGAATACCATGTAATAAAATTTGAAGCTAGATAGGAGCTCAAACCGATATGTTATGTTCTGTGGATCCTAGTAATGCACCAATCATAAATCATGAAAATTAGTTTTTATTTATTGTTTTGAAGAGTGGACTCTACAAAGTGTTTTTATCACAAATGATCTCTGAAATTGACCTTCGCCATCAAGATGGCCCCTGAAATTGAAAATAATCAATGTAGTCCCTGAAAATAGGTATCACAAATCAATGTGGTCATTCCATCATAACTCTATTAAAAATTCCATTAGATGTGGCACATAAATGGGTCCCATAAGTCAATTTTTTTTCTCACAAATGGTCCTTAAAATTGGCCTGCCACATCAGCACTTAATGAAATTTTTAACAGAATTGTGATGAAATGACCACATTGAGTTGCGACACTTATTTTCAGGGATTACATTGATTGATTTTCAATTTCAGGGATCATCTTGATGGTGAAGGTAAATTTTAGGGACCATTTGTGATAAAAACCATTCTACAAATATTAATTGAATAGAAACAAACATATGAATTGGAGCAAAATAAAATTTGACATTGATAAGCCTTCAAATTTACATTTAATTTTTTTTTTCATACATCTTCATCGAAAATGATCTAATTGAATTTTGAGGCATTCGGGAACGTGGTTAAGGTATCAACTTTGATGCAATTGACTCCTTTCTGGCAGATGATGTGGCATTTAAAAGCAATTCTTACCTTGCAACAGCTCTAAGAGTTTTTGTTTTTTTTTTTGAAAAAATATTTGTTAGTTTAATTGGTGAATTTATAATTTTAGCTACTCAGTTTAGGGTAGCTATTGATTAAGAACCGAAATTAAAATAACTCATTAAAATGTTTTAAGAGATAACTATTGATATATCTTAAAACATAAAAGAAATATATTGACAAAAAAAAACATAAAATAAATAAACGTAATTATAATGGGTACATTCAGCGAAAAAAATGGGTACATATTAAATTAAAAAAATATGAGCACATATTAAAATTTAAAATTACGGGTACAAATAAAAATAAAAATAAAAATAATATTGGTACAAATTACAAATAGAAATATATGAAAAATACTAAAAATATATATTTGAAAATGATTAAAAAGTTTTATGTTCTTGAAATTGATATAGCACATATAATTTAATATTCAAATAATGACATGGAAAAAACCTTGATAAAAAAAATTCAATTAATGAAAAAATTTAGAGATGAGAACCAAATATATTCTATTGGATTCATAGTCCCCGTGGTGATAAGGTATTCGGAAAATTGCTCATGTGGTAAAAAAATTAGGATTTAAACCCTTGTGGTGAAAGTTATTAGCAAATTTAATCCAAATGTGAGATTTCTAATAAACCTCAATTAAATGTAGGGATAAAAGTGTCCAACCACTCTTTCTTTTTAGCCTTCTTCTCTCTTCCCTCTTTTTATTTGTGTAATTGTACTTGCTCTTGACTCACTCTCCAGGCTCTCACACATTTATTCTCTGTTGGCCATTTTCTTTCTGTCTCTATAATCTTAAAAATGTAAGGATAACATTATTCAAATGCTTACAAAAAGAAAAGATTGCACCTTTAATGAAAGCAAGACTGCAAGACAGTACCCCAAAAGTAACCCATTTAGCAATGTACCAATAATTTCCAGTTAAGTATTCAAACGAAGAATTGCATACTTGAAGCATTAAAATTCAACTCTAACAAAGCAATAACAAAAGAGATTAAAAGCCAATTAAGCAAACACTCCCAGTAAATCCAATGATTTCAACAATTTACACTTATCAGCAAGATTAGACCGATAATGGAGGCATTTGTGAAGCAAAAAATAATCAAGAAAATTATGAAGGCGACATGTATACTTTTGGGTAAAAAGGACAAAATTACCCTCGAGACACATTGAGATTCCCACGCGCATGCAATGAATAATAACAAATGAATCAAGGAAGAGTCAAAGGTGATCAAAATGATATTTATTCAAAACCCTCTCATCACTCCTCATCAAATCCTCACTCAAAAGGTAACTCCCAATTTTCCTATTCAATTTGGGATTAATTACCAAGTTAATTGCAAGATATTATTTCACATAATATCTTCCAATTACATGCACAATTTGACCATATGTGGCTGGCCCCTATTCTTCAAATAGGGGCCAGTCACTCCCTTATAAATATCCATGTTTTCCTACTAAAATGCTAAGTTGTTCTCTCCCCAAAAATTCCTAAACACTTTCTCTCTCAAATTTTAACTTTGACATTGGAGATTCTTTGGCCTGAGGCTTTTGGCCTTAATCTTAGGTGTTATTATTTTGCAGGTGCATTTTCATCAAAGGAGAAGACAACGGAAATTTGCATCCACAAATTTGTGCTTTCATTGAGAGTTTGATTCACACACTCGAAGAAGACTTTCGCATTCAAAGTTTCTCATTTCTCATTCGTTCGTAAATTTTTCATACTTTCTTATTACCTATCATTTTTTAATTATTTGAATAGAGGTAAGGGCAAAATACAATGACGGGAAATTCAGAAACCACAACGAATGGAACTTCCTACGTTCAAAGATCCGGATCAAATGATGGAGGACGGGACGTATGACCACCACGACGATCCACGAGGCTCAACGCGATGGCAAGATGAGCAACTTTGCCCCCACGGAGCACCACCACCATGGCAGCAACGAGGACTACAGTGGCAGTGGGGAATGGGCCAACTCTATGGTAGTGAGGCCACCAGGCTATGGCCCAAGAGGCGAAAGCCATGGAGGTAGCCCAGCTTGCTGCAACTTCAGCAGCCCAGGCCAGGGGCAAACGTAGGCCCAGACGCCAGTAGCAGTAGCCTAGAACTCTCAGGCCCACGCCACAGAGCAATGCCAAGCCAAACTCGTGCCATTTTGCAGTGACAAGCCCAAGCTTATGCTGCACAACAACCGACCAAAGCTGCGTTGCTGAAAGAGAAGGCCAGTGCATGCACGCTTCGCGACCCAGCCCACGCTAGCGGTCCGGCTCATTCCCACGATCTGACCTTTTTCCATGGTCCAGTTCACTCATGTGACCCACCAAGCAATCCCAATCGGTCCAAAACTAGTTTAACCATCCCGACTTTAAATTTCTGGACCAATGATTGAACCAGGGGTATTTTCACCCCATTTATCCACAGATTTGACATATCCCAACTAAATCTCGCGCTCGGAGTCCATTACACTTCCACTACTCAATTAGACGTAAGTCGTCCAAGCTCTTCCACCCCAAATGGCGAACAACACTTGTCTTGACAAGTCATA